TTTTGCAGCATTGGTCCCTGAATTTTAAAAAAAAAAAATTAAAACAGTCCTTAATTGAAAGTCAATCATTTCCTTTTTCATTTTGCTGTCAAGTCCTCTGATTAATTGTACCATCGGTCCCTAAACTTTGATCTTGTACATTTTGGTCCTCCAATTTTGATTTTCATTTCTACCCTTGATCATTTTGGTCCCCAACTTCATAATTTTGTGCACTTTTGGTCCCTTTTCACTCCTTTTGCCTTGTTCTATTCGATGGATGATTTTTGGCCTACAAAAACAAATGTTACCTAATTGTGAGTAGAAATCCACTCATTTAATCAATAATTAGCTTGTTTAGATATTAAATAAGTGTGCAAAAACACACTTATTATGTGGTGATGGAATAAATGATGTTGGAGCTTTGAAGCAGGTATTATACAATGAAAAGTCAATATGCATCTCTTAGACACCCGTGGGTTTTGCAAAATACAGAATTTATGTGCCTGAAAGCTGGGTTACTAGACTGATTTATTCACTTTGATTTTTGTCATCATTGCATAGCAATGAAGCATATGATTCTCGGCACATAATTTATGTCTTCAGCGTGGCATGTAAAGTGTGTTTTTATGCATGGGTATGATGCCATTGCGAAAGTTTGTTGCGTTGAGGATTACTGTATATGTTTCCTAAAACAAACATGTAAACTGCTTGCAAGCCTCCCTAATTTCCTTGTCACAAACTGTTTTGCTGTAGTTGGACATTATGTATCAGCGTCCTGAGTTTTAATGGTTAGGATATTTTTATAAAAAAAAATAATTATTTGAATTGGTTTTGTTATCTGTAGCTTTTGTTAGACTTAATATTTATGTTTCACAGGCACATATAGGAGTAGGCTTCCCCAGTGCAAAACCCCCTCCCTTCAAATAGCCAAGCTGTTTCAATGTGGCTAGCAACCCAGATATGATAGCTGTTATAACTACTGAGTTAGGGGATGCCTCGATAACATCATCATTTGTGGCAAAGCGTACTTCAGTTGCCTCCATCACCTACATAATTCGTCAAGGTCGCAGTAACCTAGTCATTAACCTTCAGATGTTGAAGATTATTTTCCTTCAAACTGCCTACTTGAGTGTAATGTACTTATATGGTATGAAAGAGACTTCTATTCAAGCTACAATCCATGTTGTTTCTGCAACGGCTTTCTTTCAGTTTATGCAGCATGCTCTGCCCCTTGGTACCCTCTCAGCTGAGCGTCCTCATTCCAATAAATTGTGCACTTATGTCTTCCTTTCTGTCCTAGGACAATTTGGAGTTCACCTTTTGGTCTTGATATCTTGTGTGAAAGATGCTGAAAATTACATTCCAGATGAATTTATTGAACAAGAGGACTCTCCCATGACTCATGAGTACAGTTTTATTCATCGTGTGCATGATGATACTGGTTGCCACATATACTGCGAATTACATGGGACATCCTTTCAATCAAAGCATCTCAGAAAACAAACTATTCTTGTATGCTTTCGTGGCTGCTGTTGGTTTATTCGAAGTTATAACCTTTGAATTATGCAGGGACTTGAATGATTGGTTGAAGTTGGTCCCTTTATCCATAGCATTAAGAGATAAGCTGGAAATGTGGGCTTTTCTCATGTTTCTTTGCTGCAACTTGTGGGAAAGATTGTTGAGATGGTGGGCCTTCTCTCGTAAGTTGCCAGCGTGGAGAAGAAGTTCAGATGTGTAGAAATGGTGTCAACAGCAAATTGGATTTCAAGAAGATAATTATATAGCACTAACTTTGCATTGTCTATTTATGTTGCTTGATTTTGATAATTATGTTGGTTATTTCTTTTGGTTAGAGTATGTCTGATAGAGATGTAACAACTTGGCTGGCATCCATTCATTTTAAAATAAGAAACTTCTCTCTGTTTCAGCTACTTAAAGTGATAGTTTAAAATCCAATGAAAATTGAAAATATAACCGTTATTGGGTCCTACTCGTCTAATAAAAGTCAATATTAACGACTAATTTTTCAATTTTAATCCGATTTTAATCTCTACCAAGCACACTCTCATTCTGGTTGCAGAGCAATTTTCTGTTTATGTTATATATGCCCCTGTTTGGCCCCCATTATTGTAGATTTTTAGGGGGTTGAAAATTTTTAGAATAGTGATTGATGGGAGATGTGTGGTTGAAAAGTTTTAGATTTGTGTGTATTATTATTTTATTTGATTAATGTATGGTTGAGATGAAGAGAGAGAAAAATTTAATATAGCCTATGTTTGACATCCATTTTTTTTCTCATTTTTTTCTCTTTCTTCATTTCAATCACACATTTTATCAATAAAATAATATTACACATAAACCAAAAAATTCTCCTTACTTTTTAACCACACATTCTTCTATCAATCACTATTCCAAATCAAATTTTTCTATAAAATGGGTGTCAAACAAGGCCTATAATGTAATAAGATATAATGGGGGGCAAACAAGGGCTATGTCTTTAAAGTGTAAATGTGTACAAGTTGTCATGAAACCTTTCCAGTTTATCTTAGATCCTAATGAACACTTGTTATTGGGATGCAGGTTTTTGTCCTGCAGGTATTGGTGGTGATGGTCTTTCACGCTACCGAACAGATTTCCATGAAATAGAGGTACTGAGGTCCATTAGGAAGCCAAGGATTGGTTGCTTTATATAGTATTGAACACCCTTTTCTTTTCAATGCTTCATTTTGATTGATTTTAGCCTTCTCCAGCAAATTGGCAGTGGAAACTTCAGTCGTGTTTTTAAAGTCCTGAAAAGACTTGATGGTTGCATGTACGCAGTGAAACATAGTTTGAAGCGATTACATCAGGATACAGAAAGGTAGCATATTTATTGTTGGGCAACTTGTAATTATTGACTCCCTATCTTTTATCCAGCTTGCTCATGCATTCATTTACCAGGAGCAAGGCTTTGATGGAAGTTCAAGCTCTGGCATCTTTAGGTTTGCCTGCACATCCATTTTTGCTTGAATAATGCTTTGTGTACAATGTTTAGTTGACAATGTATTTGACAATCAATGTTAATTCAAATTCGAATGAGCGGGAAAGTGTGTGGTGTTTAAAAACTGGCCAATCAACCTTCAACATGTGGCACATTGTCAAACTTGTTGTCAAAAAAATTGTACTTGTAGCATGGTTG